TTTTTGATCTGCAAGACCTGAATTCGAGCTAAGGTTGTTAGCTCCGTGTGTTATTCCCACCCCCACCCCCCTTCCCTTCCTTTCCCCAAGTGCCATTGTCGCATCGCCTGGAGCTGCCGAGCCGCGCTCAGCCCCTGCCGCCGGGCGAGGGCCCGGGGGGAGCCCCCGCTCGCTGCAGCCCCTCCGCCGGCGCCGCCGAAGGAGCATTTTGCCTGCGGATGCAACCAATTAATCCCGCAGCTCGGCGGGGGCAGCGCGGAGCCGCCCGCAGCCTTTTCCCTGCCTCCCTCGGAAGTCGCGATTGAGAAGCAGGGCTGTCCGTGGAGCTCAGTTTAAAGCGAGCTTCCGCGGGCTTTAAACGTGTTTACTTCCCATTCATTTGGCATCAGCCCCACTGCCACGAGAGCCTTCGCGGGGCTCGAAACATGGAGAGAGCTGAGCAGCAGAGCCCCGAGCCGGGAGAAGCCCGACTGCTTTGCTTCCTTCTCCTCCCCCGCACCGATATAGTCCTGTAAATTGCACAGAAAATACTTTTTGGAGAGCCGTAAAATCAGAGCCCCTCGTTCCCTCGCTCTGCCCTTGGTGACATTCCATCGGTTCGGTGGCTGCGGGCTCTGTCCCCCTTGTGCTTCACCCCCTGATTACCCTCGACCAGCCCCAGCAGCCGGCACCCACCGACTCTGCTGGCTTGTGCCAAGGCTTCCTTTTTTCTTTTTCAAATTTTTTTTTCTTTCTATATTTCTTTTTTTTTTTTTTAATTTTTTTTTTAATTTTTTTTTTTAATTTTTCCTTATTTTTTTCCTCGTGTAGCATTTGAATGTGTGGAAGTGAAAGAAAAGCGCGTCTCCTTCAACGTGCTCAGCCCAGATGTGCAGTGCCTGCGGGGCTCGCCACTGAGCTGCAGCACTTGGGGAGTCCCCCCCCGCCAGCCTCCCCTTAAACTGCCCGGGAATTGTGAAAGCTGAAGGGGTTTAAACTGGTTAAAGTTAACAAACTGTACTTAATTAGTTCTACCACATCCTGTAATCTGAATGAAATCTATAATATTCAAGACTAGAAGAGTTTTATGGTGTTTATGATTCACTGAATAAATATTTGGAATCTGAACTCTTAGTAATTCATACCCAGTTTTAAGGGCTGGTTATTTACTGGCAGGCAAAGGAACTAGTTAAGAAAACAGCTAAAATAATCACTATCGACTAATTTTCAAGTTAGGGTTTTGTTTCAGATTTTTCTTTGCTCGAGTTTTTTTTGGCTTACTAGTGTTCTATTTGAAGAGACATTTACATTTGCATGTTAATACAAATCAATTTTCTTTAGAATAGGTGTGAATATAATGCCTACTGCAGAACAACAGAAAAAATTGCCCCCTTGAGAGAAAAGTAGTCTCATCTTACTTTGCAATATTCTGGTACTTAACTTCTTTTCCCCAAAAAGTTTGTACTGGAAGCTACGTGTGATAATTGTATCTTGCTATAATGAAATGCAGTTGAAATTAAATGGGTAACTGTTATTTTTTACATAACTGCTCTTATATGAGGGAAATCATAGCCATCTTTAAAAAATGTGCTTCCTGCTATAACTTATATGTTAGAATATACATACTTTTACAAGTTTTTTAATGCAACTGCAAGAGAAATTAAACTCCTTTATTATGCAAAATTTATTTTTTCCTTTACCTGGAGTTGCTAAATTTTTCATGTTGCACTTTTATGTTATTTAATGAAACTGTTATTTCATATGTTGAAAGCAACTTCTCGGTTTAGTTTATTCTTTAGATCATCTGGGTTAGTTGTAGCCTTTTGCCACAACAGCATGTCTTCCTGTATTTAGGAACCAACTGGTGAACCATCTCCTAAAAGACCAAGAGGAAGACCCAAAGGAAGCAAAAACAAGAGTCCCTCTAAAGCAGCTCAGAAGGTGAGATTATTAAAGAGAAAGAATTACTTTTGCTGTTTTTTCATCAGCTACTAGCAAAAAATCCAATAATTTAGGCTGTGAAGTGTGGGATTGGAACTCTTTTAATAATGCTACATAAAGCATGAATTTCACATTTTTAAAATTAGAATTAACATGAAGACCTTAAATACAGAACCCATAAGGACTTTCTTTTGTGGTAGTCTACAGATTAATGAAATAAGAATGTATTTCACAAGAAACCATGAAATGTCCTGTATCTAGTAAGGAAGTCAATATTAAGGATAATATTTTCTTCATTAAGATTTTTGTAAGAGGAAGATTAATTTCTTGCCCACTTACAGTTGTTGCTACTACAGACTAAATCTGTATATTAAAGCTAAGTACTTTGTCAAACATAAGTTAATTAGAAGTAAATCCAATTATGTGTTGATGGAAATAGTGCATATATTGAAATTTACAGCTTTAAAATGTGATGGTAAAATAAACTTTGAGTAAAAGCCTGTTATATCTTGTTTAGTAATCAGTTTCAAAGAGACTTTTACTGGAAGTGCTTTAGTCTTCTGAACCACTATTTCTGCTTGGTGATGAGACCAAACTTTTATTGTGGTGGTTCTGATTGCCTTTATCTACAGGAGAAGCTCCCTGAAGTCACTGCATTTAGTGCATGGGCTTTACATCATAGATACAACATGAAAATTTGACTACATTTTATTTAAATTGGGGAAAACACAGCATTAAAAGGCTACATTATCAAGGCAAATCATGCATATCCTTCTGTAGGAAATATTTTAGTAAAGGCACATAGTTGTCTATGGGCTTGAAAACAAATATGGGAGATTTGTTTATGTTGTTGGTTATACAGCAGTTAGCACTGGTTTACAGGTACTAAATCAGAAACAAAAGCTTGGGAAATCTGGTAGTGGACTGTAGTGCTAAAGTGTATCAGTATCTTTTAAGGACGTGTGTGACAAAATGTGTGGAAGGTATTTGTGTCTTCATCTAATTATGGTTATGGTACTGACCATATTCAGTTTGATAGTTTTCAGTGTTATAAATTACTATAGCAACTACTGATAAATATTAAATCATTAAAAGGTGACTATGGTTTCATGTCTGTTTTGTTTAAAGTATTCTCAACATTTGTTTGAGGTACTTTTCTAACTGTCTTTAAATTCAAAATTGGTTTGGTTTTCGGTTGTTTTTTGGTTTTTTTTTTTTACTTTATGGGCTGGAAAAAAAGCAGCATGTTCTGTCAAGAAATCCATGAATTAATGAAAAATGCTTTACAGGTTAAGTATTAAAATCCTTTCTAAGCCATTCTGCAAGGTAATGTGCTTAAAATGTTAATTTTTTTTCTTTATACACTAAAAGCATCCCTCAGATTCATGTTAAAATAGTTTATATGTCACTCTTCAAAAAAGAGAGAGCAGTTTTTTATTAGTCTAGCAAATCCAAATGTGAGCTTTAGTATTTTAAATACTACTCCTAAGAGTGTTGGCTTTCCTAGGAGAAACATTTATACTAAGATTAAATTTTAAGTAATTTGTAGAAATGGGTTTTAAAAGATGCTTCTAAAAGAAATATTGACATTAGTTAATTTACATAAGTGATTTGCAAATCAGTATAAATGGAAAATAATTTTAAAACATTCATATATGTGTAGGTTTATTAAATCAAAAAGTTTTCCAGATGATTCTGGTACATAGTTATGCTTTCTTAATCTAATTTACAAATTGAGTAATTTTATTATAACATTTTGATTTTCAGAATGCAGCAAGATACTGCTCTAATTAAAGCTTTTGGGTGTTGCTAATGTAAAAAATTGACCAAAGACCACGTCATTTTTTATAATAAAAAAACTCTTTGAGTGGTATGTAATTACAAGTCTTACTGGTTTCTAGGTTTATAGATAAAGTATATAAATGTTTGATAAATCCTCTAAAACACAAAACACTTATAAAGCCTTACTAGAAGAAAGAGACTGGTATCACATTTCAAATAAATATTTTAGCCCTTTTTCCAAATTGATAATTAGCCCTCTCTGAAATGGTTCAGCTTCTTACGAGGTATCTCAAAGTATCTCTTAATGTAATATTATTTCCAATAGTTTTTCTAACTGTAATAATGATGGGAAAGTTTTAGCACTGTAAGAAAGCTTCATTTGGTGGTGAGGGTATCACCTCTAAGAGGAGTGAGCTATGTGTTTAATTTTGTGGTACACTTATTTACACATACATATGCATACATACATTTATTAAAGCTCTCTCCAGCCTGTCCCAACTCCCAGAAAGAGAACTGACTATCTTAGCTTAAGCCCCTCTACAAGTGAACCTGGGTACTATACACCCAGCTGGAATTTGCTGGAATTTCTAAAGAATAGTGCGTGCCCTGTGTGTTTCAAAGGGAGCTCATTGAAATGCTTTAGAGTGTTCACAACATGTTAGATAAACGTCGACCAGGAGAACCCACCGAGCAGCCATGAGAAGGCACTCATGATTAATTGATTGGGTGTTCTCTTGCAAAGCATTACACATCACAATTAAAAATGTATTGCACAAACTGGCAGTGAGTTAAAAATACTCCAGAACTGGGGCTTTGTTTTGTTATACTTCAAAAAGGAAATACCCTTAAATCGCTTGAAGGATTTTCCCTGGAATTGTTGTTGTGTTGTATATTTAAAATTACTTGGTGCACAGGTTGTTTTTTTTTAATTTTTGTTGGAGTTTTTTTGGATTTATTTTTTTTTTAAACTTTAAGAGCTTGTGTTTGGTCTTAGTAAACTGGCCTTGGGGCATCTGAAAACAAACTGTGCTTGTTATGAAATTAGCAATGTGAAACTTGACAATGCATACAGAATGTTGCAAAACTAACTGAACAGCTAATAATGTGGCAATTACTCTAATTTTGGGTAATATGCTTTTTTTCTTTTCCTTGAAGCCTTGCATATCACACGTGCCTAAGTTTTTATAAACTAGACACAAAAACTTCTATGAAAGTGTGTTTTACAGAAGACCAAACCATTTCTCAGTTGTATAATTTTCACAAACAGGAGGAACACAATGTGTTACGAGATAGATAAGAAGAGGTAGAGACAAAATACTCCTGATCACCTTGCACTTGAGTCCCCACAATTGGGTGGTTATTATGCAGTCTGCATCTTTAAACAAGTTATTCTGACATTCATTTAAAATATTTGAAAAAATCCAGCAAAATGTGAATTGGGTTTTGGGTTTTTTTCTCCCTAAAGCACAACCATATTTTTCAGGAAGATCATAGTGGGGAATCTTCCTTTTTAATTTCCTGGGTGTTCTGCAGTTGAATTTTCCTTTTAGTGGTGAGCTGTGTTCCCAGCCCATCACATTTCCCTTTCTAGGGTGCTTTTTTTTGTTGTTGTTGTTGGGTTTTTTTGGGGTTTTTTTAGCTCCTGTAGTTTGGCTTGACAAAAATACTGTAATACTATATAGGTACAAATAATTTCCTGTTTGGGAGCGGGAAACACATTTGTGACATTAGAAAAAGGAATAGTATATAACTGTCTTTAAAGAAATCATCAAGGGATGTCCCAGGAATATACAATGGTAAAAATTCTTTAATAAAATTTACCTTCAGCTAAAATGAGTTGAGTTTTGTTGTAGTTATTGGTGTAGTGAGTTTCACTAAAAATGCCTACAGAGCTTGATGCATAATCCTCTGAAAACTAGAGCTTGTGATCCTGTGTGTGACTGCACTTGCTGCTGTCACTATGTTACATGGCCAGGTTTGGTATGTAGAAAGGCATGTTTCTGGGTTAAGCAGTCCAAAGGTAAAAGAAAAAAAAAACAACAACAAAAAAAAACAAACCAGAAAAGTGCATGTGATCAGGACTCTGCCCTAAATTGGTTCATGAAAGTTGGCTTCTCCATGCTTCATTCATTTTCACCAACACCAGTCATTGCAAGCTTAAAGGGAAAACAAGATAAAGTTTATCAAGTGATTGTAGCATGGTTATTGCACTGAAAAAATGAGAGACCTCAGAATCAGATGTTTTGACCAAGATAGGAAAAGCAGAAGACTGACTTTTGTTTAGAATTAAAATGGATAAAACAGGACACGGAAAGTGTGATGGTTTTGTACTTAGTCAATGCCTAAGGTGTTTTTTTTAGGAATGTTTTTTGACTAAATAACTGTGTGGTTTTTTGAGATGGACACATTCCTGGGCAAGGTCTTTTGACTCTGTTTGACAACAGTGATCTTCATACTGAGAACTATCACTTACTTTACCTGATTTACAGCTCTGACACATTTAATCTGAGATCTCCAGCAGATCATTTTGCAAAGTAGACAGAGTTCTTAAAATTTGGATTCTGTTGCATTTGAGGTCTTCTTGACAATACATAGGTGCCCAAAGAGCACTTCATAGCCATTCAATTATTTCTGTGTGTCTTGTCTTGTTCATTGCTTTCAGTAGTACAGCCTTGGTTTCTGTCTGGGTGCAGTGCATTTTTGCAATAAGGAGGCAGAGATCTTGGGCAGTCAAGTCCTAGAGCTGCTGAGAGAAGCTGTTTGGAAGCAGGGTTTGATGACCTTGTGGTGCAGGGCTTAAGTGGATTGCAAATCTTCCTAGGGACTGTTAGCTCACTTCCAGATAGCAGTGACTGAAATGGTGATCTTCCTCACCAGTGATAAATATAAAACATTTCCCATATAATTCATGCTTTAAAATGTGAGTAAATTTAGTTCTGTTCCTCGCATGTGACATTGCAAAAATGGTGTGTTCATATTATTGTTTATGTTTCATATTTTTAGTGAAATACTCCTTGTGTTTGATAACATACCTGATCCTTTTTTAAGTTTAGTGATTTCACATCTTAGCTGCAAAAAGCAAGGTCACACCTCATAGCATAGTAGCACCAAATGTTAAAAACCCCCTGACCAAACACCACCTCTGGGTGGCCTGGAGCTCTGTTGGGATTTGTCCCTAGCTTCTGAGACAACTCTTCAATTGAAGCCAGGAGCCAACAGACTGCAGTGTTGCTGATGATGCAAAAGCCTGTTCAGGGGAAAGGCTATGTTTTAGTGCTTTCATGGAGAAACCATGTATTATCTATCTGATACACAGTAAAATATTCCTGCAAGGTTTCAGTTAAAGTCTTAAGTTGTTGGAGAAAATACAGGCTGTATTTTAGCAAAAGTCAGGCTAAAAAAAGAGGGAAAGAGGTGGAATATTTTCCTAAACTTCATGTATTTATTGTTACCGCTGTGCTGCTTCTACTCCTTTTGTTTGTTCTAACAGTGTTTTGTCTTTCTCTTCTCTTGAAAAGGAGATTAAAACTTCCACTTTGGAGGTTCTTGTAATTCATTTTCTGCAGTTTGATCTGTGAAAACCTTGCTATTTACTTACAGAATCTCTCTGTACCAAAACATCACCTCTGGCATGCCTGGCTGTTTGCTCAGCTCACCTCTGGGAAAGATTTGGTTTTGATAAGAACTATGGAAATGTTTTTCTTCTAACATGAGGTGGAAGTCATATACTGCAGGAATATAGTGCCTTTCAATCTGCAAGGTCCCCAAGCACTTGACAAACCATTACCCAAACTAGCCAGCAGGAACACCAGCCACTTCTGATGTGGACCTTTGGTGGTGGTAGAGCTCAGCACTGCTCATGGGAAGCGGCCACACTGTGTGACAGTTTGTGGCAGGAAGCAAAGATTAGTTATTCAAAGAAATCTCTCATGTTCATTATAATGGGTAGTTAAAATTTGTGTCAGGTTTGTGCGGACTTTAATTATTAGACCAGAGTAGTTTCTGTTTTCAAAAAGTTAATTATTTTTAATAGAATTTTGGAAAAGGATCTTTTCTTCAGATGCATTGATACACAGAAGAAAATAAATAGCCTTAGTGCTCTGATAACATATCAAGTGTTGATTTGTTAAGACCAATTATAACCAATAATTTCTTTTTAAGATTTATGCCCTGTGTTTCATGGAGTAAATGTGGAAGCAGGGGGCTACAGCTTATCAACACTAAACTGTATCTGTTTGTCTGCATCCTTCAGGTTACAAGGTATAAAGATATTGAATGCTTAAAGGAAACAAAACTCTGAAATAGACAGCTACAGGATATAGTAAATGCACTTTAACAAGTATTCTCTTAAGAGGGTTTCACCTTACATGTAACACCAGTATAAACGATTAAAGCTCAAGTTTACTCTTTTAACAAGTCTGAGTGATAATTTTGCCCTTTAGGAGTGTGAATTTTATTTTTCACAGCTTTCTTATTGCGAGGTATTTATTTCAAAGTAATTGCATTTAACTCACAGGGCAGTTTTTTTTTGTAGAGATTCCTCCATTAGTTTCTCAGCTCAAGTTCTCTTTTAGAGAGATCCGATTTACACAGCATTAGGTTACAGTATATGTTACTGTGATTGACCAGCAAGAGATTTATTTAATGGCACAGTTGATTTCTAAGGGCAAATCAAATACACGTACAGGTAACTGGGGGAAAAAAAACCAAAGCAACACAATTTATGTGTATTAAAAGTCTTCATTCTTGGTGACTTTGTATCTAGCAAGTCCTGCTCTGACTACAGGTAGTGGCAAAATCCTGAGTGGAACAGGATTGTTTACCTGGTGAAGTGTATGGATGGGCATAGCCTGGCTGGAGAGAATAACCTGACTTTTCATTTTAAACTCTGTAAGTTTTTTAGTGTACTGCATAAGTACTGTTATTAGTAGTAGTATTCACAATGTCATGCAGTGGAATTAGTGGAAGAGCCTATAAAAGAACACATATTTCGTTTAAGCTAAGCTCTGGGAGCAACTGCTGGGCTTACATAAATATAGCTGTCACTTTTAGGGCCTCTTCCACATTGTTTCCTTAAACCTGGAAAGGGAAGGTGTGTTTTGGGCCAAAATAGGTTTACTTATTACAGCTTAAAGATGTGTGTTTGCCTGGAAAACTTAATGTGAAATGTGGAGAAATTGTTTCCCAATAAGAGCACGGACATGTTCATGATGATATTCTGTCCTAATTAATTTCATGCATGAACATAGTGAGACTAAAAAAGGAATTGTAGCTGCTGTAAACTGCTTTGATCCAACTTGAAACAGGCTGTATTTTTAATTTAGTATCTTCAAGTACTTTTTGATGGCCCATGGAAGACTAGATTTGATGTTATTGGAGGTTCTCAGGTTTCCCAGTTGCTCTGAGCCTGCATGTCAGTGGCTGGTCAGGGCTCTGCTGAGGACCCTGAGCAGCTGGGGCTGTGTGGGTACACTCCTCCATGCCCCTGGACACAGTGTGGATCAGGGATGGGGACACCCTCGGGTGCAGGTGAGGCACTCTGGCTAGGAAACGTCAGAAAAAACAGCATAATCACCAATCTGTGTGAGAAAGCACACAGATTAGCTGGGGGGCCTGGTGCCACCCAAGAGGTATAATTGTAGCTAATGTTACAGGAAAGGATTCCTAGTTACTGAGGCTGTTAAGTAATGCTGAGGTATAAAATATGTTGTGTTTCTTTTACAGAAAGCAGAAGCCACTGGTGAAAAGCGACCTAGAGGCCGGCCCAGAAAATGGGTAGGTATTTCACTTCCAGATTTATTTGCTGTGTTATAAAGCATGTTAAAAAGCCCATTCCTTTAGAGAACAGTAATTTCATTTGTAAAAAAAAGCATCTGTCTTCTGTGTCTTTTTGTTCTGGTGGATTGACTAAAGAGTTAAGAGAGCAAAGAGGTTGATCACAGTTTCCTACCTTTAGACTCTGGTAGTTTGCTCAAGATACTTTACAATTGAATGTTTGCTTCAAGTGAATATTTATGTGTATCTTATCAGCATGAAAAGAGCCTCAACTCTTCCTTCAAAAGAGAGTAACAATGAAATAACTTGTTTAGTAACTGAGTAACAAAGGTTAAAGGGGCAATATCAGACATCAGAGGGTGATAAGGCTCAGATGAAGGGTGTGGGAGATAAAGTTTAGAAGCCAAAATGCTTTTGTACTACATTGCCTGGAAACATGCATATTTTCCTTAAATCCAGTGAGAAAGAGCACAGATGAACAGCAGGATACTTGCACTTAGAACTTAGTTTTTCCATTCACAGTCATTTTCATGCCTCATATATTTGTAGTGACTGGTAATATATTTCATTAAAAGTTTCCGCTTTTCCTGACCCATTTAGTCTTTAGATGTGTCTATCAGATGTGTGTTTTTATTCTTCAGCTATGAAAGTATTTCAGTCTTAGGTACTTGAAATTTCGTGCTCTTGCTGATGTTTACAGCTAATGAGGGTCTGCCTGGTGCACCTCTCATCTGCATGTTTTTCACTTGTGCATAGGCTTTCATATGGATTGCCTCTGGAAAAATGGGATTGAGTATTAGAAGATATAAAGGTGTGGCAGTGTGCTTAATCACAAGTTAACATCTCTGATTTCCCTTCTCCAGGTCCCTTTCCCTGCTCAACATTTTTCTTTAAACTTTTTTTTTTTTTTCAAATCCATGCCCAACATCTCAATTTGAACCCCTTATTTCACTCTGTAATCTCTTTCCTCTTGTCAGTCCTGTCATTATTCCCCCCATTTTGTTCCATTGTTTTGCATAGCTGTTAAAAGGGTTGTAAAAGTATATGCTTGCAAAAGCTCAAGCAGCACCAAAAGGTACTGAAAACTACAGCTAAGGTTCCCCAGAGTATCAGCCACTAAACACAGGAAAGCTGCCTTTAGCAGTCACTTTAAGATCTGGTTCTACTGCACTGTCCAGTGAAGGCACCACAGGATATTTCTTTGGAAAAAACAGACCACTGCGTACTAGACGAGTGGTTTGTAGCTGTAGCTTTTAAGTCAGGTACATGAGCAATTTTCACATTTTCAGGTACATGAGGAAGCTCACTGGCATTTTAAAAAAAAGGTGACTTTTTGAAACACATCTATGCTGGTGATTTTCTCCCAAGCAGCTTGGGGAAGGAAAATGTCAAGTGCGGTAAAGCGTGGGTCAGTTTCTGTCTGCTTCCTCCCATCTGGCTGGAACCTCACATATCTGAGCACTGAGTGTTGCTTGCTTGATCCTCACCTTGGGTACAATCCCTGGGAAACAGCAAAAATACCTGGTTTATGAGAGTCATTAATTTATAACAGTCAAGCCATCCCCTCTGAGTTAAGAATGTGTGACAGGTGAATAGGGATGGTTGAAGAATTTGGGAAAAGGCAGCAGCCTGAAATGTAAAAAATATTTTCTCTTCCAAGTACTCATAGTCAGAAACTGAGTGTTCAGTGGAAAGGGCACTGCTGCCATCTCGTAGGCTAGAATGTTTCCCTTCTATGTCTATATTTTTATGGGGAAGAAATAATGGGCAGTATCAGTGGAGCATTCTGAATGGAACGGGCTATTTGTCAGGTCAAGAATCTAATTTTCAGAAATGGGAATTACCGAAATGGGTTGTATCCATCAGTTTATTGTGAGACCAATACTTTCAACAGTTTCACTTGTGTTTTTAGTATTATATATAGTATTATATAACAAAATATATGCATATTTTGAAACTTGGTACTATTTTGCTGTTGTGCCTATTGAAAGCACAGTCTTTTTATTTTCTTATTCCAATGATATGATTGCTTCTTGTAATTTTCAGAGATAATGCTCCAATCTGCAGCTTGCATTGAGATAATTTTTCAGACTGTGAGAATCAAATATGCCATTTTTCCCCCTTCTCTTTTCTCTCTTTCCAGTTTAAATTAAGTTAATGGGGTTCCTTCTAGCTTGTAGTTGAAATGAGGGGAGGAGTCTGCCAGAAAGCAGATAGTGCAGCATCATCCTTTCTGTTTAGACCTCCAACATGCAGTCAGAAAATGTCCCTTTTTATCACCCATATTTCAGTTTAATCCTTAATGATTATATTCTTTCTTAATCCAATTTATTTATATGTCAAACCTTAATGATGATGGTTTAGTATCTGTGCAAGTAAGGAGTGTGCAGGGTGTTTTTCCTCAGAGAGGGCAGAATTCTACATTTTCATAAGTTTGTAACCCTTTTTTTTTGGGAGTCTAGAGGTTCTGTGTCATATGTTGTTCATCAAATTGTAAAATATTATTTCTGCTGTTTCCTTCAATATGCACATGCAGAGACATACGAGCTAACAGACCACTGTAGAATTCCGGTAGCTGGTCTTTCTGCTGGTTCAAATTAAGTATTTAATGTTTGTGACTCGCAGTGTATTTATTTATATATTATTTTTTAGAAAAGAAGTAAATCTTTTTTGACTAGTATAGAACTGAGAGGGGGAGGGAGAGCCCAAGTGAAGAGGGCAAGAAGCCCAGTTTATCACAGGCATATGAGCTATCAGATGATCTTTTTAATGCAATAATGTGTACTTTGCAAAGTTGTCAAGGGAAAGAAGAGCCTTGTCAATACAGCAGACAGTAAAGATTAAACAAAATCTTCTGAAAATAAAATATTCAGCTACATAAAAAAGCTTTCTAAGTGTGGAGAGGTAATTGAATGAATGTCCTGAAGTTAACACGGTCAAGCAGGTGGGAAATGAACATAGTTGAAATCAGAAACACAGTGCTTGATGCTGTGAAGCTCACCTTCACTGTCAGTTGCTGCACACGTGTGAAACCCATTGAAGGCTCTGATTCTATTAGCTATTAACCCTCTTCATGGGGGCCTCAGTACTTGATTTTAGAGGGTTTTTTGCACAAACATTTTCTAAGCTCCTTGGATGCATCTGCATTAGTGTGTTAGGTCAAATCATGAGTATGCTTTGGAAATGCATCTCCTGGTTTTCCCCACTTACTGTATGCGTTGTGTAGCAGTCCCAGAGCTCATTGGTTGGACTCCTTTCAAATGAAACCAGATTGGAAGATGTGCTGCAGAAGTGCAGTCTGGTAGACATTCAACCCACAGGACTAGGCTAGAGTGAAATAAAAAACTCTTGAAAGGTGTGTGGTTTGGACCTTAGGTCCTCAGCACCATCCTGTGGTCCATATTGTAGACATAGCCTTTGATGCTTAAAAAAATGCTATAAAGCAACCTGGTTTTTATTAGCAGAATTATTTTATGTAGCACAGGCGTAAAGTCAAATTCACATTCACAGGAGTCAGTGAAAGGTTTGTCATTAACTTCATCAGGGCCACGTGTTTGCCATTGAGGCCTGATGCTGCTGCTCATGGACTCAGCGACTGTTTTACTCATGGCTTCACAAAGCCCTGGAAATTTCATAGTCCTCTAATGCTCTCAGGCGTCAGTTTAATGGAAGAATCTGAAATCCAGTTTTGAAGTTGATGCTGAAAAGGGTATTTGTTTTTTTTTCCATTTTTCCATTTTGGTTTTGTTGAGTCTTTATGTAGAATTTATTTTGTGTTTCTAAATTGTTTGACTTGAACCATGGACTCTCTGCATGGCATGGCAGAGTTGTTCCAGAGAACAGTCCAGAGATTTTTACAGCCTTGAGCAGGACTTTGGTGAGGAGAAGAGATGGCTGATTCCATGCCATATAGCTGTTTTAAAAGATGGATAGATGCAATTCTAGAATTTGCATGCCTGTAAGAGCAGAAGATAGTCAGTGACCTTCTGACCAGGGTCATGCAGGATGCACGTGAAGCATCTGCTTGCACACCTCATCACTGAAGCCTGAGTAAGAACCGTGACTTGTTCAGAAAACTTGCAACAATTTTGTTTTCTGCTAGACAATATAGAGAGCACATTTCTGTTTGGTAGGAGATAAGAGATAATAAGAAATTAATTTCCTTAACCAGATTTTTAATTTGTACTAGTGATAATTATCTAGACAAGCTGAGAGGGGTAGGGGCTGTTCAGCCTGGAGAAGGCTTCAGACAGACCATAGGGTAGCCTCCCAGTAACCAAAGAGAGCTACAAGTAAAACGGAGATGGACTTTTTACAAGGACCTGTGGTGACAGAACAAGGGGAAATGGCTTTAAACTGGAAGAGACTGGTTTAGATTAGATATTAAGAAGAAATTGCTTACTGTGAGGGTGGTGAGACACTGGAACAGTTGTTCAGAGAAATTATGGATGTGGGAGTGCTCAAGGCCAAGGTGGATGGGGCTTTGAGCAGCCTGGTCTGGTGGAAGGTGTCTTAGCTCATGGCAGGGTGTTGGAACTAGGTGATCTTCCAGGTCCCTTCCAACCCAAACCATTTGATGATTATATAACTGATGACTACAGTACTTTTTTAATGAGGGCAGAGTTTCACTTTACACAGAATGCCAGTTTAAGCAGTGCCAAACCACGTTTAAAAAAAATATTACAAAAATGCTTTTTTATAATAACGTTTTCTTCAGATTATTTCCCAGTGCAATTCTGACATAGCTGAGATACAAAACCTTAAACATGGAATTGGTGAGATGTTTCTATGCCAGCAGTTCCTGTGTCAGGGCAAGGACTCCTAGTGCTCATTAAGATTTTGATAATTAACTTCTTAATTTTGTAGGAATATGTATCAAGAAAATCCTATTGCCTCAGAGGAACCATCAATGTTTTTAGGCTATTTCTTGCCCATACTAGCTCAACTGGTCAGAACACGATGTTAGTAACACCAAGGTTGTGGATTCAATGCCCATACGG